CACCAACTATACTGTAAAGCTTCTAGGACATTCACTATAGAACCGGGTTGTTGCCGCCAGGAAGTGAAGAGGAAAAAATTTATTTCGCTTTGCGAATAACCTAGCTATAAAATGCCGCACAACTGGAGAATTTCAAGAACTTCTTCACGGATATAACACTTTCCTTAGGTTATTTAAAGCGGCAAATGACCACCAAACCATAATCTTAGCAGACGAATGTGCCTATGAAAATTGTAAACGTGAATTGTTGGTGAAAATCTTGGACCAAAAAGTTTCAATAAAATATATAAAAATATTGGGCGGGACGAAGTTCGCCGGGTCTGCTAGTATGTATATGTATCTATGCACATACATACGTATCTATGCACATACATATGTACGTATCTATGCACATAGTATGTATCTATTAGAGTCCAGCGCAAGTGTATTTGCCGCATTTCGATCAATAAGTACTCCTTGCATTGTACTCTACTCCCAACACATTGTTACTATTTTTCCGCATACATACCCTACTTGGCGTTGAGAGAGTAAATACTTGACGTACTTGCTCTTACTCCACCAAAGTAGGTACTCTACTTTCTCTCATCGCGTACGCGAGATATTTGCTGCTGCCAAAAGGGAGCAGCAAATCTACTCTCTGTATACTTGTAGTACGGTAAGTACTTGCGTATTAAATTTCAATTCTGGTTGTTAGCCTACTAGTTGAAATCGTTTGCGGCGCTGGTCAGTGAAATTGAAAGAGTAAAAATAGAATATGGAATTTGACGATGTAAGGAAATCTTTACGGCCTTATTTATAAAAAATAACGTAGATTTAGACAGTTGTTTAATGTGGCATTTTCATAAAACTTTTATATTCAAGCAGCTTTTTAAATCTATGTATGTATGTACTTAAATTTTTATGAAAGTATTATTTCTTTTTTCTAATTTTCTATAAAACTATTTGCAGTCATTAACCAACAAATAAGTTGTCGAAATCAATAACTTAAGCAATGCTGCTATACGAAATAAAATTATTAGTGGCAAATCAAAATTTTGAAAAGTGCCGATTTTCACATTCGATAGTTGGACATGGTAGCGACGAGACGTACGAGCATTTTTTTCTTAAGAGCTGCATACTGATTTAAGAAATTTGTTATAGAAGCAAATTTATTTTCTATTTATTGTGCGTAATTTTATATGAATTTTTAGTTTTTCTTGAGAGCCTTTTCAAATAAAAAAAAATTTCGGAATATGTACATATGTACATACATACGCAGCCATATAACTTGATTTCAAGAGAAATTAATTTTCATTGGGCACGTTCAGAAGGCGCAACAGCTCAGTAACTGGTGCGATTGCACCTTCTGAACGCGTTGTTGCGTACTTCTGATCAACTGAATAGTTGCGTGTTAGATGATCGTAATATTTTTCTGATCATTTGAGACAACATGTTGGTGTGTACCTTTGAGAGTTGAATTTGACAGCTAATGTATGAAGTCGTTCAGAAGACGCATAAGATCACTGATTTTTTTTTAAATAAATGGCGAAAGAAAAACTTTATCCGATTTTTTTTAAATCGAAACTACATTTTTACATATGTACATATGTACATGCATACATAAATATATTTAATATGAAATTGAAATTTTCACATCAATTTGCGCTATCTTCAAACCCATGGTTTCAATTGTACGCATATCGTCGGGGTTTTCCCCACAACTTGGTTTTGCTGCAGTGAAGCGACAGAACAAGTGACGAGAAAAAATATATGCGGACACATATATGTATATATATCTATGCACATCCGTATCTATGCACATAGTATGTATCTATGCAAGAATGATAGAATACAAGATTGCGCCGATTGCAGCAGAATTCGTGAGAGTAATTTTAGCGTGACGTCATCGTAGAGTTGACAACTGAGAGCGGCGAGAATGAGGGCGACTAGTGATGTGCTGAATTGTCCCCAATACTCGGTACCCAATACTTAAAAAAGATTTCGGTACCCTATACTTCCTTTTCGGTATCCGATACCGATTATTTACATTAAACCCTCGCCATTATATGCATTTCAGGTTTAGAAAAAACTTTCATTACTAATTTATATGATATCAGCTAAAACACTTGAACTTATCGCCACAGAAAAATATTATTTTATCAGTTTTAACCTTAGTCGATCCAAGGTTCAAGAAAAATACTTTGACGGATGAAGAAGCCTTTCAGGGGAGAGATTCTGTAGCCAGTAAGCGACAAGTTTCGGATCGATATCGCACTTGTTGACTTACAAATATTTGATATCAAACGTCGACAAAACCGATACCGATTCGAAAATTGTCGTTAACTGGTTACAGAATCTGTCCCAGGCCTACAAAAACGATATCGTCCGATTCAGCTGGAACAAAAATGCTTCAAAAAGTAAGGGTTTCTCTGTATTATGGCATCGAACCGACATATATACATCTTTCATTTGAATCAGTAAAAAGCTCTATTGGCTCTTACATTCGGGTTTTGTTAGGCGTTTTTCCATATTTTTGGCCTATGTGTGCTTTTTTTCGAAACCTAAATGTTTCGGTACCGAGTATCGAGAGTATTGGGTACTTAAAAGTATTGACTCAGCACATCACTACTGCTGTCTTCTCTACTATGACGTCACCAAAACAGCTGATTCTGTCAAAATCACTGAGAGCCGAGTAGCGGTATCGTCATCGGCGCCACCTCTGTATTCTCTCCACCGTGGTATCTATGCACATACGTATCTATGTATGCACATACATACATATGTACTTAGGTATGTATATTAGCATTTTAGATGAAAGTAAGTTTTGCTCGTCGCTCTCTTCATCGCTCCACTACATTCCTGTCCTTAATTTTATTCAGATACCACAAATGCACGATCCAGAAAATTCTTCTATCATTCTTGCCACAAACGTATGTTTTCTTCGAAAATACTCAAGTACTACCAGTAGAGTACTCTACTGTCAAATACCTTTTACTCGCAGTAGTTGCGGAAGGCAAAGTAAATACTCTGCGCGTCTTGCTATTGATCGGTAGTTTACGTACGCTTGCAGAAACTGGTTTATGCTTACTCACACTTGACCCGAACGATGAGAGTAAAGGAGGGAAAGTATTTGCGCGGCGATCGGATGTCTTGTTAGGCCCTTTAAATGGAATTGCGCAGGAGTTTAGTATCTATGCACATACGTATCTATGTATGCACATACGTATCTATGCACATATACATACATATGTACTTAGGTATGTATATTAGCATTTTAGTTGAAAGTACGTTTTGCTCGTCGCTCTCTTCATCGCTCCACTACAATCCTGTCCTTAATTTTATTCAGATACCACAAATGCACGATCCAGAAAATTCTTCTATCATTCTTGCCACAAATGTACGTTTTCTTCGAAAATACTCAAGTACTACTACTACTACGGTAGTTTCCCTGCAAAAATGAGACTAATCCGGGATGACTCCGGGAGCAATCGCAAAAGAGCATGCGACTAATACCAGTTTTGATACTTTATATGGAATGAACTGATAGCTTTTGTTCGAGCATGTCCTATGAAGAGACTAATTGTTCACCTTTATACCCGAAAGGGTATAAAAAGCGACTAGTCACTTTTAAAAAATAAAAATAAAAATTTGCGCCAGCTGAGATTCGAACCGGGTTGCTCAGTTTTGTTAGGCGAATACTCTCTCTGTGTGCCAACGTCGCACATGAAATTTCATTGACTAAGTGCGTACATATCATTAAATCGTTAATAGTACCCGTTAGAGATGAGTTGGGGACTAATTGATATCCAATTATACCCATAAGGGATGAGTCGAGACTAATTGACCTCCATTAGCACCCGTATGAGACTAGTTGCGACTAATTAAGGCCCAATTGTACCCGATTGAGTGTAATCTCGGAATACTCTCTTTAGAGATTAGTCGCACAATTTTTTGCAGGGTTACGTACGCTTGCACAAACTGGTTTATGCTTACTCACGCTTGACCCGAACGATGAGAGTAAAGGAGGGAAAGTATTTGCGCGGCGATCGGATGTCTTGTTAGGCCGTTTAAATGGAATTGCGCAGGAGTTTAGTAGCTACTGCTGCTATGTAGTAGTAAATGCAATCACTGCATGTAAATACATACATATAGCCGCAATTAATTTCATCTAAAGAAATCGTATCGTGCGGTTCCGCTAAAGCGTAGTGCATATTTTTGGGCGTATTAATAATAATGCGGCTGTTAAATATTTAACTACTTTCGCCAAAGTAGATGTCTAGACTAGTTTTTGCATATTCTACGTCTGGACAAGCAAGATTCTGAAATGGTAAAAGCGTGGTAAAAACAAAGATAGTTAAGCGGATGGGGTAAGTGACCGTAGTACTGTGGTTCAGAAATCAAACTGTGTTGGAGATGTGAACTTTTAATTTGCTCTTATAATGCTTTAATTTTAAATTTATGGAAGATATATTTTATATGTCGTCAGTAATATTGCAAAGTCTAGTCTAGTCTGTTGCCTGGACCGGAATGCATCTTTGAATCGTTATACTCCCATAAACTAATGGCAGAACTATCTGACTTTGGCTGATGAAGATGAGCGACAAGCAGAAGCGATAAGTTACAGGTGGCAGATCATTTAAGCACCAAAGGTAATAGTTGTCATAGAAGGTTTTGCAGTATCACCGTCTATATGGAAATAAATATCTACATACACATACATACATACATAGTAATAGCCTTTAATAAACATTGGGCCGTATGCATAAAACCTAAACAAATGCTTTTCTTAAAATTTCAGACGTTTTACTCGATTTGTTCAAATAAATATAAGTTTAAGGTTTAAGAAAGAGCAATTGCTTAGTTTTTATGCATACGGTTCATTTAGTCACTTTCGCTTCCTTCTTTACAGTGTAGTTCTTCATTTAGTTATCTATTAAAGTCGAGTTCCTAACCAAGCGTTTTTTTTTCATTTATGAATAAATACCTTTTTGATGATTGATTATGTTGTCTTATGTTTTCAGATGGCATATTTAAACCCTGCTCGTTCGTTGGGTCCATCTTTTGTTTTAAATAAATGGGATAATCACTGGGTTTACTGGTTCGGTCCGCTTGTCGGCGGTATTTCATCAGGTTTGCTTTATGAGTATGTCTTCAGTTTGCGTCGAAATTCACGAGCACATAAATCAAATGTAGATAGTGACTCATTCTCTATTCATTCCGAGGACGATATGAACTATGATGTGGATGTTGAAAAGCCCCACATGCCTGCTAAATATTCACATGGCACATACCTCCGCGGTCAAACAAATACCAAATCAACAATCGCAAGCAACGCTGGCACCATTCCTACTGGTGGTAACTACTGTCAGAACTTATATACAGCCCCTCCACTAAATAAACTCGACCAACCAGAACAATTATACGGAGGTACTCGCTCCCTATATTGCCGGTCACCTACGCTTACCCGCACCAATTTAAATCGCTCACAGTCAGTTTATGCAAAGAGTAACGCAGCAATAAATCGCGATATCGTTCCTCGTCCAGGTCCCTTAGTACCGGCTCAAAGCTTGTACGGCATGCGAGGGACACAAGCGCAAACACAGGCTCAATCATCTAATCTGCAAAATCAAAACGTACAGAATCAGTTGCAGCAGCGTTCAGAGAGCATTTACGGCATAAGGGGATCAACGAGACAATCACAGCAACAACAACAACATTCGCATCAGCTACACTCGCAACAACAACCTCATCACCAGTGATCGGACTTAATAAAAATTCTGTGTGTAGATTCTGGAAAAACTGTTGGTTGATTTAGAAAAAATGTGGTATATCTCAGGTTTTGGATCAAACTTTTTACAAAAATTTAAAAAAATTTTCAAGGTTTCACCTTAACTGAAAACTTTTTAATTCGAATCTTTAGAAAAAACTTTTAACTCGGATTTTGCCTATTTTGACAATCCTCAAGTAAAAGTAAACAACGCGTTAAAAACTTTAGATGCACTGTAATGTGCTAATTTTCACAAAAATCGCCGATTTTTTACATTTTCTTTATTAATTCTTTTTATTAATCATATATTTTGCAATTTAACACAATAAAATCACGTTTCCCGACGAAAAATTTAATATTGAGAAAATTCACTGTTTCATGGTTTCTATTCTCCTCCCATTCGACTTTGTTTACTTTTAATTGAGAAATCTCATCGCCGCCGGGAAATCTTTTATACTATCATTCTTGTTATTAGGGACACGAATTTCGATACGATATGAAACCATATCGATATTTTTGCCATTCGATACCGATAATTTTTACTCGAAAGATTTCAAACGTTATTTTTTGGAATCGAGTACCAGAACCCTTGTATCGTATCGAATCGTAAATGTACATTACAAAGTTAATGAAAACGTCAAAATTGAAAACTCTGAGAATTGGGCAAGACTATTTGTATAAAACCTTTTGTAGTAATATTTGAAATATTGAAAGTTAATTTTCCAAATTCCAAAATGTAAAAATTTGTCCTTACTAAAATTTCTATTGAAAGTTTTGTAGTTAATATTGTTTTTAAACATTCCATATCTTGCAACTCTATGTCGTACTATAACCCTACTTACTTTGGAATTTATATGTAAAGCAATATTGATATATTTTGAGCTTTAAAGCGCAGAAATGTCAATTATCTTAGGTTGGTATGTGGCGCGCCTTCAGTGATGTACTTATTAAAGTGCAAAGTGTTAATTCTTTAATAGAAAATGACTCCAATATTCAGATTTAATTTTTTCTGTTTTGTATCGATATTTGGAATATCGAGTCTTTTGATTACGATATTTTTAAAACCCGATAATTTTACATCGATACTGCAAATGAGTACTATTTCGATAGTTTCGGTTCGATATCGTTTTCCTACTTGTTATCACATAGTGTTTAGTGTTGGACAATTTTTGCTCTTCAAATTAACAAAATAAAGAAAATCATGTGGTGCTAAATTATAACTACTCAAAAATGCGAATATGTGGTAGATTTCAGACCTTGTGTGGTAGATGTGGTGGATGCTCCAAAAAGTGGTAGATCTACCACAATGTGGTAGAAGTCCGATCACTGCTCATCACCACCATCAACAGCAGCAACACCATCAGCAACAGCAGCAACTTCATCAACATCAACCTACTCCTCATCGACTGCAGCCCACTAGTGAGGAAGGCCAACAAGGTTTTCAGTCCGTATACGGAATTCGTCAAAATCCTAATCCACACGATGGTAATCTCAAATATGATCGTCGACCAGAATCGGCATACGGCATGACAATGCATCGTAATCGTGGCCAATCGGCGCAGTCGGATGACAGCTCCTACGGATCCTACCACCGATCAGCAGTCACACCTCCTGCCCGTAACCAAACCGGTGGCGAACCGATACTTATGTACGCACCACCACCACCAATTCCATCAAATTATTCCCAAGTTGGTGCGCCACCCATGCGCACGCAGTCAGAGCGCAAAGTAACTGCACCAGTTGTGGTGTCACAGCCGCCACAGATCACAACCGGTATGGTCACATACTCGACGAGTTCGAATCAATCCCTGCTATCAGCAACCCCGGCCCAACAGACATCACAACAGCAGTCACAGCAACAGCAGCAGCAGCAACAATCGCAACAACAACAACAGATTTTAGTACAACAACATCAAACATCTCAACAGCCACACTATGGCATGTTACCGATGCAAAGCAATTGAAGGTGGCGCTGATGGGGCCCGTGAATACCGAGTGATTGTCTGAACGGAAGTTTATAAACCAAAAAACGCTTTCCGAACATTAAAGTAAATCAAAACGTCTGTATACTCCCAATAAACATTTCGGCGAACGTTCGAAAATGATCTTCGATATCCAATATGAATATTGAATTGAGAACCAACCCATAAACAACCTTAGTTTTCCAACGTTCATAGTATATTGGAAATACACTCGAGATGGGTTCGAAAAAAAAAATGGAACCATAGTATCCAGAGAGAAAATGAAATCCAGCTCATTCTCGAAGGGAAATATAAGAAAATCACTCTCCCACATTAAAATTCCAATTCGGTAGTGGGCTGGATTTCGAATTCATAACGAAAGAAAAATACATTGGTTAACGAGGGATCCGTTTTGCTGGAGAATGGCCTAGTTCTCGAACCGAATACTAACCTATTTCACATTCGTTATCGAAGGTGAGACTCGAAAAAAGATTGGGTTTCCAATCGTTTTCGAATTGTTAACCATGCCGAATGTTTATTGGGCTTTTATGTACATAAATTGTAAAGGGAAAATTAGCAAGGCAAAGAATTATGTATGCATTCGACATAACGCATCATTTCCTGAACTGATCTAGATTTGATTACAAAGGCAACGAACTGATGATATACATATACACAAAAAAGCCAATACGTACGTACTTGAGCTTAGTATAAAAATTTGTTTAAGTGGTCTTCCTTCATGATACCAAAATTTTTATGCTCCACCTCTCGATACGAATGTCCTTCAGCTAAAATTACCATTTTCATTGCAGTTTATTGACAACCCATGACACAAACTATTAAATATTAACGAAAAGAAATCGGTCTAAACTGGTATTGATACCGACTTCTGGATGGGTTGACGACTCTCATTTCGTATTGATTCGTCGTAGAGTTAAGATGGAAGCCGGAATTAATTTTTATTCATTTTATTCATTCTACAGTTTTTGTTAACTCTATAAAATCACACACGAAATTGTTTTTGTGTGGTAAGCCGTTTATTATGTTTTTATGTTCACCTTATATGCGTAATTAAGGAATCTAAGCAATTAAGCTAAATTTACTCGATTATTTAATTGTGCAATTAGCACCTAATTACACCTAAATGGAGTCAGATTTGCCAGGCATGTTCAGTGAGAAAAGGAAAGTATTTCAAATAGAAAACCAAATTTCATGAAAATGGAGAATCAAAAGGAGAAAAACAAAACGAAAAATTAAATGAAGATAGCCCATGGGATGTAAATTTTTTATTGTACCAACTCCCACAATGATCTTCGGCTGCGTATTTCTCTAATTCTGCAATAAGCACTAGCTCCATTTTCCTTATACCTTGAAACTGCAAAATTGTCTTTTAAAAAGTAGTCTACAATCAAAACTCGATTGACTGAAAGAGTTCTATGTATACTATTTATTCTGTGATCTAGCGAAATTCTTTCAAATATGAATTTTTTCAAATATTTCGATACTTATATGTAAAAAGAGTTTCAAAGAAAAACATTTTCAGTTGTCACATGATAATTGTGCAAGCTAAATTGAGTTATTGTGAAAATCAAAGTCAGTAATTCAATGTAACACTTTATTGCCTTAAATGCAGTGCAAATCTGAACATAGTATTACCCAAGGCACATTAAACAGGTAGTATCAGTAGAGCAAAAACAACATTTGCGTGTATTTTGTTGTTGCTTCTGGTATCGAAAGTGTCAACAACTGTTCTGAATTTTTTCTTCTAAATCAAAGCGTGCCATGTGAAATACAAAAAATTATAAAAATAAAAAATTGAAATTGGAAAAAATAAAAATTGATGCAACTTTCTTTCCTAGTAAATTTGTTTGCTTCTCGAAGCATTGATCCATCCTTTGCAAGGCCCAGTAATCAGCGGTCGTGCTGCCGAGTTGGGCGAACGTTCCAAAAGCTGCTATTCAATCGCTTGTTTTGTAGGGAAAAAGGTTTCACAAGCAAATGGATTTTAACAACTTATAATTTTCGTGAGAAAAAATTAAAAATATTTGACATTTTCGAGACCAAATAATTTGAAAATAAATCAAATCAGCTGCTCTACTGATACTACCTGTTCAATGTACCTTGGTATTACCCATGGTACAAAAAATAAAAAACATAGTTTCATTCGAAATTTTAGAAGTTTCATAAATTGTGAGCATTATCAACAGCCTTGTCACGTTGATAATAGCTCTGATCCGATACTTTTCGTGAAAAATCCTGTAAGACTGTCAAACAGCAAATTACTCTCTGAAGTGAGAGTAAAAATTGAGTAACAACAAAAAGTACGGGAACAAAAAAACCATTTTTCCTATAAAAACGCCAACCGGTGAATGCTTGACACTTTTCATGATGTTACCAGAAGAAAAAGTTCGGGTAAAATCTTGCAACTTCACTCTCTACACAACTCTCCAAAAGTCGCTCTCATTTACAGGACTTTGGAGTACGGGAACATTTTTCCGGCAACTTCCTGCAAGTTCGTGTTAAATCCTGTAAGTTCATGGAGTACTGGATCAGAGCTAATATTACAACAATACGGCAGAGTAGTTTTTTACCATTTTAATACCAATGTAATAATATTTCAAATCAAAAATAAGTAAAGTTTTCCCACCCAAAGTTAACTTTTTGATTTTTTATATGTCATTGGCCGTTTTCGAAAGTTAATATGGTGTTCAACCAAGATTGATAGGTAGGTTTTTTTATCAATCTTGCCAAAGAACAATCAGCTGTTCAGTACAAAATGTAAACAAACAAGCAAATGCAGCAACAATTTCAAGGAGGAAGCAACAGTGTTGCCACTTATTTCGCATATTTAAATAAAGTTGATCTGAAATCCAACGAAAGTTAAATGGCATTTAAGCAACAATCTAAAATTAAACTTATGTGCCGTTTAAATATTCATATGAAATTTTCATGCTGATTTCAACCGTGCCAAGATTATTTGGCGCAAATAAAAACTAAAGCACATAAAAGAGGTTAAAGCTAAACTTTTATATTTTTTTTTAATATCTCTGAAACTATTTGACCAATCACAAACCTATTGATGCTAATTTAAAGATAATTTAGGTACCTTTTACGCGACGTATACAGTATAACCTTTTTGAAAATAAATTTTAAATAAACACCATTTAAAAAAATATATTCATATATTTTTTGGTTATTATTTTTTGGATTATTAAAAATATAAAAAAAGGAAAAAAATTATGCACACCAAATGAAATGCCCCTAAGTACCTTTGTTTTGACGTCATTAGTTTTGATGTAGAATACGTCTTACGCTTCGATATGGAGGCTATGCTGAAATGTTGTAGTTGTAATTTTTAGAGCTTCACGAAAACGCTTATTGCACGAGAACTAATAAAGCGATTTCAAAGAAGAGTGTGGCGTTTCAAAGATAAAATTCCAAACCTATCGACAGATTCATTTTTGTAAGTAGCCAATTCGGTTTCTGTCGTAAAAAGAACGGTAAACATTGGCTTATTTTGGGGTCAATTTAGAGTCTTTTAAGTGCTCCAGCAGCTTCCGATTTGCAGATGTAACTTTCATTTTCGGGATATAGATTCTTTGGAGCAATAGAAATATTATCTTATACAGATTTTAGATAAATTCACCAAATATTGAGCATTTTGCAAAAAAATTTTGAAAAAATTTGCAAATTTTTTCTATTACCAAATGCTCAAAAACGAATGAACGATCAATGCTCGAATGATTTTGTTTTTGTTTTCTTTAATCAAAAATTCAAGAGTTTTCCTTTCGTTTGGTATATGGAAAGTAAGGGTTGATATCTTCTAAGTATGTCTATTTGATTCAAATATATGGGCATAAATGATTTCCCATACAAAATCACTTCGTCATCGTTTTGCAAACACGTGCTTGCGTTGGAAGTGAGGGAAGGAGACAAAAAGTATGTATGTGTGCGTAAGTACATATTTCGGCTTTTGATAAACAGATGGCGCAATATTTATAACGTAATCGCAGTGTATGTACATATGTAAATACATACATACGTACATATGTTGATTGCAGTTAATGTGGATCTGTTTTTTAGTAATCTATATATGTCTAATCTAATGTATGCCTATACATATTATATGTGTACATTAGGGCGGGTCAATTTGTATGGATTGATTTTTTGCGACATTGTTCCTAGCATATTCGGATTCTTCATAAAATTCTAAGAAAAAATTTCTCCAGATCATAGCTCTAAAGTCAATTTCGAGCCTGCACATTTTTAAAAGAAAATATCTTATATTCAAAAATGAATTGCTCTCCGTTAGCCTCGCTAAGACTCGAAAACGGCTTGACCGATTTGAATATTTTTATTTTTTTGGTTTGTTTTTTATAATATCCGGATGGTTAAAACGAGACAAAAATAGAGAGTTGCCACCTGTTTAAAAATTCAGTATAAGTAAATTAATGACATAAATTAGATATTGCAATATGGGTGTCAAAAGAAAGAGGCTGTGAAGGCTTACAGGCGAAAATATTTTTGAGGGGGGTTGCCACCTGTTTCAAAATTTAATTAAATTAAATTGGTAAGATAAATTAAATATTGCAATATGGGTATCAAATTAAAAAGGTTTAAGAAGGTATACTACTGAAAATATTTTTGAGTCGAAATGCCACCAATTTGGAAAATTTAATTCAATAAATTAATAAGATAAAGTATGTATAATAATATAGGTGTCAAACGAAAAGTATTTGAAAAATTATTGATTAAGAAATATTTTCTATAGGCCTGTCACCTACCTGAGCGGTAAAAACTAAAAGCAATTATTATTCAAAGCTTTTGAGGCTCGCATCAATGTAGAATACTGTAACTCCGTCATGTTAGTGTTTATTGATGGCAAACAAAGTACTATCACGTCAAACACAAAGTACTAAACTCTATCGTCGACTATGCGTAGATCGGGTAACCCTTCTTGATT